ATCTATAAGTAGATTTCTATTCATAGAAAAAGTGTTGCAATTGCAATCGTGATAAAATTAATACAGGACTAATACGCGAATGGACCTGTGACTGGAGAATATAAACAATGCATGTCTTAGAAATCATATATTTAGACGTATGTTTATTTATTTATTTCACGCGAAACGTTAATATATTTATTATAAAATATAAAATAAATAAATAAAGTTATAGACTATACAATAGACTGTACATATATTAGAAACATACGTACAGTCTATTTGTACATATTAAAAAATATATTGTTTACACGCTGTGTCGGCGTGTGACGTGTTGTATTTTTTTTTGATGGGTGAAAATGGTATGATAACCCCGCCTGCGCTAACAGGGTACGCTGGCGGAGCACCACTGAAGGGTGATAGATGAGAATGAAAACAGGCCAGTTAGCCCATCATGATGAATTCATTAGGAATTTACCATGATAGTTTCCAGGGAGAACCGCGAGGAGTCGACCTGGTTGGGTATATTGCTAGCAATAGGATTCTCAGTCTCCATTACTAACAATCCCTTTCCCCTGACGTATTGTATTAGGTGGTGCCGTGCCCGAAAATGCATAGATCAGATTAAACGCATTACATATAGAAATTAGTAAAATGAAAAATAATATAAAAATACAAATATATAACAAAGATCGAGCGGTTAAGTTGCCAACAACAGAACCCTATCCATTGCAGAAAGAATTTCAAAGTTAATATACAGAATTGGCACGAAAATATCGTGTAACGTATAACAAAACAATACGGGCGAATCGAGAATTTCCTTTCGGAAGCTGTTTTAAAATATCCATGTTTGCGGTTGTTTAATCATGCTGGTACAAGATTACATTAAACATTATTACAATGGTGTATGCAACCCGGTCACGCGTTCCAGGGAAACGCATAACAAAAACCGTATAACAAGAAACGCAACGTTTAAACTGAAATAACAGTTAGCCGAACGATTAGTTCATCAATTTTAAATATTGAAGTATTTATATTCGATATTAATGTGTTTATTATAATAACGATGACCTCTATTATCTGTTTGTATTGTTAACAGTTGTAATAATATGCAAGTATTTATTTATAAACTTATGAGTAGTACAAAACACGACACCTGTATTTTTTTTAATACAACTTAAAATGGCAAACAAGCTGACAGCCCACCTGATGGAAAGTGGTAACCGTCGCCTATAGACATGTGCAGTACCATGGACATAACAGAGTATACTGTTTCGCCCATGATACCCCCCATGCGTTGCCATTCCTGAAGACTCAGGTGCTATTCCTCTATACCTTGTAAATTCACGCCATATCCCACCCTTCAAACCGAAACATAGCCATGCAAACACAACTGCTTCACGGTAGAAACACGAATGGGACAGAGGTACCCAAGCAGTCGACTTTTGTACAAAGTCTCCCTCTGGTGATACGTTCATTGATCGGGAAAAAAAGTAGACTACATCCTTCTGTATTATGGAATACAGAAAGACATAGGGCACCGATTACGTATTTTCCAAATATCATAGTAATTAATTAAGGTGCTTAGATGTAACAAACAAAAACACTCACTTTCACATTACAATACTTATAATGATTTTGACTTCTATTTCTTAGGGAATATTTTTCATATACATGAATAGCTGCTTGTACTTTCACTCAATTAGGGACTTAGGAATTATTATACGTTTTTCGTTAACTTCTTATGGCTGTCTCTAATTAGAATTTTATGTGGGACTATAACTTGATTACGAATTCTCGGAATTTTTATAAAGAAAAAAAAACACATAAATACTTACAATATTCAGCCGAAATTCTTATATAAGCCAGATAATTGAGCAAAATACATTGTAATAGAAAATACACGTGTAACGCAAACAACATTACCGCGTCATTCGATTTAAACGGATATCAGATGAATAAATAATCCGAGATAGTTATCTATAGAGTTAGTAGCAAACAGCATATTAACCTATACACATTCAGTTTTGAAATAAAAAACACCAAGTTGCATCATTCGATGGCCGGTTAATGTTTCCAGTTCTCTACGCTGCTTCTTGTATTAGGTATGCAACAAACCTACACACGACCAATATGGCCGATTATAATAATTTACGATTGTGTTCCGCATAAAAAAAAAATACGATTCCAATTATGGCAAGATCAATTCGTTTTCAAAACTAAACTACTAAAACAATTTGGATAAAATTTCTATGAAACTAAATTGTAAGTACGGTGTTTCAAATAAAAAAAAAAAGAATTATTCAAATCGGTTTATGACTAGCAGAGTTATGAGGTAGGTAACAAACATAAAAAATATACAAAAAAATTTCGAACCTCCTTGTTTCTGAAGTCGGTTGAAAAGAGTCATCAATATCGGTCTACAATTGGTGAAAATATCGCATACAAAAAATCTTAATTTTTAAGTTATTCAATTTTATTTATCATATAAGCGTATTTCATTGTATTTTACTGTGGTTAATTGTAAAATTAATTGAAATTGAACTAATTATTATTATTATTACTGAATTAGGTATTATTTTGTGAAAGTCCATAACATTGATTAGTTTATTAGAATTTTTTTTTTTAACAGAAATAGCGTAAAATTATTTCAAGACACTTAAAGACTGGTCTAAAAAAAAGTAAAATTGGGAACTTATTTTTTAAATAAAAAAAAAAAATTATGTAAGAGAGCGGTAAGAACAAAATATCCATTACGCCGCACGCAGATATAGTAAACTCGGGCACAATAGTAATCGCTGATACTATTATCATCATGTTATCACAGAGCGTTATAATAGCATTTCTCAGAAGCCGCTTTACAATTATCGAACTTCCTTGAAAATGTTATTTGCCTGCGCAATTACGATTGAGAACTTGAAAACGTTGCACGGAATTTTTATTTCTCCAATAATCAGTTTAGGAATGTTACCCTGTTGTACCACTAACGAGGGGATGTTATTTACTTACATTTCGTTCCAATTAGTTTAGTCATAGATCATGACTCAGGAATAAATTATTTAGTTATACAATATCTTATCATTTAAAATACTTATTATAAAAGTAAATAGCTACTAGAACGAGATAAATTAAACAAAATAATAATAACTATTTTGGCACAAGCAAATTTAAAACAGAAGTTGTACGTTATCAATCAATTGCTATTAACTCAAGCGACTGACGATACGTAATAAGTCAGTCGTTTCTCTGTTTAATGCACATACCGGCAATTTTTATCAGAAGAATGTTTTTTTTTTTATACCGCCATTTGTATGCTTCCGGTTACAATACAATAATATAATTACTTTTAACCTCTGTAATCTCATTTAAGTGAATATTTGTAGTCTTTTGAGAAATAAATATCTTAAACCGTATATTATTTCCATATAAAATTCGAGCCAATACAAGTTTCACATACAAAGTGTGTTTTATTACGCTATAAAGTCGTAAATGTTTTCAATTAAAACAGATGTTTTCCTAGAAGCAAGGAGAGACAAAATTCAAGATAAACTGTCGAAGATAGCAGTTTTGCAAACTAATTATCATTCGCTATAAAATGTTAATTGATCGTCAATATAATTGATATTTTTTCCATGAATCGTGTTTGAAGGCAGGACTGACGAAACTTGACAGACTAATTCAATAAATAATACATTTTGTTCCACAGAAAAAAAGGCCGTCTACCATCGTGGCAAAACCGGTTAGTTCAATTTAAAAAATAACGTAAATACTGAACAAAATTTGATAAAATTTCTAAGAAACAATTTGAAAGTTTATTCTTTTATATAAAAAAAAAATCCAAATCGGTAACTAAATGACAAGTTCTTTGGTAACAAATATAAAAAGATATAATCGATTTTTTTAAGTCGTTTGAAAATACAGTAGCATTTGTCGACCAATACCAAGTTGTAGAAAAATAACACTCGACATATTAGAATCCAACGCGGCACGGGGCGAGCCTATCGCCTTTATTTAGATCGGTTTTTGTTGTCGATGTTTTCCATCACGGGAGAGTTAGACGGAAATAGACATAAGTAAATCAATAAACCACTAAGTCTTCACGTCTGTTTGTTTGCCATTCCAAGTTGCATAAAAATAGAATGAAAATAAACGTGAGCGACATCCGTAGATCAACGAAGGTCACAGTGCCGCCTGCGCTGCGGGTTGGTTCGTGTGAACAGATTACATAAATTAAGTAATATTTCCCTGTAATGGGGAGTAATCCGTGTCCAGCAGTGGTAGGATAATGGGTTGTTATGGTATAATTATGGTATTCGTATTATCCTATTACTAATATAATAAATTTGTAATTAGACGATGTCTGTACGTGGAAGATATTTAAGGAGAATTAATACAACTAATAAACGCCAAAAACATATTTTTTGGAAATTTGTTCTGTTTGTTCCGGAGTCACGCAAAAAACTAATGCACTGAATTAATTTTGACAGTTGTATTCCTGAAGGTCTTAAAAATCTAATGTATATTTTATCTAGATCCCGCCATTTGGGCCGTCTATTTTTAGTTTTCCTACTTCTGAAATGTACACGTAGAAAGCAATAAGGTAATAAGGTAGTAAATTATATATTTTTTATATGGTTTACGTTATGTACCTGCGCTATGGTTTACGCTAGCGAAGTACCAGTGAGGGATGATAGATGAGGATGTCATACAGTAAGTCAAGTCACTTGGCCTATCGTGACTAATTCGCTAGGAATTAACCACGATGCTTTTTCGAAAGGACCCCGTGGACGTCGATTTAGTTTACATTTCTGACAATACGTTTACTAATGCTAGTTAGATGATAACAATTCCCATAATTATATTATATTTAGATAATAATTGAATCGACAACTCCGATAATTGCAAAATTGAGTACGGAACTGATAAATCGAATATTTTCATGTATCTAATCTCTTATCGAATATTCGATTTATATATTTTCTGCGAGATATAAATTTAGTCTATACTTTTCTTATTCTAACACGAACGTGTATGAAAAAATAATACGTTTTTTTTATTTTTATTTTGGTTGGTTATTGTATCTTGTTTATAGCTTTGCAAACATTAATTGAGTAACGGCGTTGATGGCGCGGATCGTTGGCATTTGGTGGAATCGAGTCTATAATTATTATATCATAAAAACACTTCTACAGTTTCAAAATTTATATATATTTTACATAAAACTAGACCGTTTAAGGTGTATTAGAAACTAAAAGACTGTATAAGAACACATCTATTTCACTAAAGATATGCATATTACTTGTTCTATTGAAGCAAATGGTTTGAATGGAGTAAATACAATGATAACAGGGTCAATGTGACGACAACATTACGCAGAACACAAACTCAGATAAAATTCATAAATGTGTGTATATATTAACATTTTATCTATTCATAGTAAAAAAACAAAGGCAGCGTATCTTATCTGTGGCTCATTATTGGAATCGAGTTGGTGAGTAGTCCTCCCATGGATATAAATAAATAGCTTTAATACAGATAAATTAAGTAGAGGTTGCACTATCAATACTAGATAACTATTAGAAAAAAGTACATTTTTTTTGTAAATACATTATTAATTTTAATATCTTCATTTAGTCAATAAAGTTATTTACATAAATAAATATTTCGCAAATTGATGTTCCGCAAATTGAATCTTCCGCAATAAAATTAATTAAGCATCTAATTTGGGAATCCTCGTTCGAAGCTGTTAATGAGATGAAATTATGATTGTGATAATAATAAATAAAAAAAAAAAGAAATTTTATTAAAATTGTCAAGCCTAGTTTCTAAACGAAATTAAGAACAAATTGAAATATCAGTCAATTAGTCTATTTTTTATTTGTACTACTATTGAACATCCGCAGACTGTCTTATGATCGGGTCAATTTTTTTATACAACAACCTGACGGAAAGTGATAACCGTCGTCTATAGATACGAACAGTACTATGTACATAACAGAATATACTGTTTCGCCCATGATATCCCCCATGCGTTGCCATTCATGAGGAAAAAGGTGTTATACCTTTGTACCCTGTAAATTCAAACTAAAACACAGTCATGCAAATACAACTGCTTTATGGTAGAAACACGAATGGGACCGAGGTATCCAAGCAAACGACGTTTGTAGGAAAGAAAAGGATTATTAGTTAGATAACAGGCTCATTACTAGCAATAGACAGGTCGACCTCCACGTGCTTTCCCCTGGAAACCACCTTGGTTAATTCTTTATGAATTCGCCCATATGGGTCAACTGACCTGTTTCATCTTCACCTATCATCTCTCACTGGTGCCCCGCCAACGTATACCGACAGCGCAGGCAAGCTTACCATTTCATTATAACATATTAAAAAAATAACGACTTTTATACCTCTCTCTAATCAATTATACCTATTTAACATTTTTACACATTAAAACTTAATAGAATATGATAGTTGATAGGTCATCTTTCATTATGACCTAACAGATTTTTTTTTTAATGGATGATAATGGAATGGTAGCCCCACCCGCGCTAACGGTATACACCAGCGGGGCACCAGTGAAGGATGATAGGTGAGGATGAAGTAGGTCAGTTAGCCCATCGTGACGAATTCAACGAGAATTGTTCACGATGGTTTCCAGGGGGAACCACGTGGAGGTCGACCTAATAAGGCATATTGCTAGCAATGGGGCTGTCAAACTCCATTGCTAACGATCCCTTCCCCCCCCCCCCCGCCCGACTTAACAGATATTCAACTAATGTTAAACAAAACAAATAACGAATCTTGAATCTTAATGTATTTATTATTTTGCAACTTTATTAGTTAATTATGGTTAACATTTCATCATACGACGTCGTAAGTCAACAATATGCACTGATAATGCTCAATTTCTAGTATACAGGCATTTCAAGCATACGGGTCAATGTTCTTTTGCTATCTTTAGATATCGATGTAGCAATTAATGTATGAAATAATTCATCTCAGGATCAGAGGAAATAATGTAAACGTAAAAAAAACTGCTCCAGTTTCTAATTAGCAGAGTCGAGTACGTTCCTCGTTAATAAGGAATTAATTATGTACATATCATAAAAACTAGACTTTTAGTTAGAGGTATGGTGGCTTATTAATTAGGTCATCAAAAAACACGTCAAGTGTGAATCGGAATTGCATAAATAGCGGTACGGAACCCTCGTTACAAAGTCCGTTGATTAAAAAACCTTATCAGTACTCTCCTTTGATTGCATTTCTGATTAGTAATTTTTTTATATTACTAAATCCTAACTTTACATATGACAGATGTAAGTAGCAGCAAATCAATAATAAAAACAATTATAACATACAAGTAGACACAAATCTCATTAAAGGTTCCTTGTTACCATATTGATACGGAACCCTAAAACATGTTAGTGATACGAATTCCCTATGAAGAATATTTTATCATTAATATGTCCAGATAGCTTTTTTTTAATTGTTTTATTTCAAAGCTCGGAATCCTTTACAGTTAAACATAAATACATTAGCCGCTTACTAAATTGTAATGTAGACTTTTGTGGACATGAATAAAAGGTCCTTAATGGTACCTATATTTTTTTTAGACCTATGCATAACTCAGATAAAAACATAAGTGAAACAAGCCGCGCCAAAGTCATATGCATGCGTAAGTTTTTACATTTTCCCATGGGAATGAAAAAGAAGTAAGTACTAAGTTATCATCTGCGCCAATTTTATCACAGAAGCAGACAAAAAATTTGAAAAATAATTAACAATATAGACACATACTACACACCTACAATATCATAACAATTACAAGTTACAAAAAATATTCTATTTATAGGTCACGGTCTTATGACTGTTCTAAGATATGACAAGTAACTATACACAGATAAGTTATAGAAAATAAATACACTCCATAAGTAAAAATATATTTCTGTCACAGATTAAAAACAGCATATTTTTAATGGAATAATAATCCCGCCTGCGGTAAAAATAGTGATAAAAATATCACAGATTAAAAATAGCATATTTTTTATGGATAATAAAGGAATAGTAACCCCGCCTGCATTATCTGTATACGCTGACGGGATACCAGTGAGAGATGACAAGTGAGGATAGAAAAATCAAGTTATCGTGCTAAATACACCTGGAATTTAGAACAATGGTTTCCAGAGCGGACCGCGGAGAATTTGAATTGACAGAATATATTACTAACAATGAGGCTGTTAGACCCCATTACTAAAAAACTCTTATCTCCAAAAACAGCATGTTGTGTAATAAGACTGAATCAGTAATGTGAAACGTAATTTCTTTTTTCAAGAACAAACACTTTGGTAATAAGTAAATAAGCTAACGATAATGGCCTATGTGATAAGAACTTGATAACCGTCGCCTATAAGATGAAGTCAAAGACATTAGCAGTACTTATCGTTAGCGGTACATAAAACTAAACTACTGAAGCTTTAAAATAATTATAAAAACAAACATATTTTACGGTCATTTTTGAATCACGGCAGAAATGTCATGAACCAAAAATTTTAAAAAAATTGGATCATGCTGAACGCGCCGTACATTATTAGGTGTTAGTATGGGAAGTTTAATATTTTGTCTTTGTTCAGTGTCGATGGTAGAATACCACTTATTATTTCTGTTAGCTTGTTATTTTTAAGTACTAAGGTGCCTATGTCTATTCTTTTTTTTTTTTATACAACTTAAAATAGCAAACAGCTGACGGTCCACCTGATTGAAAGTGGTAACCGTCGCCTATAGACATGAGCAGTACCGTGGACATAACAGAGTATACTGTTTCGCCCATGATACCCCCCCATGCGTTGCCATTCCTGAGGACAGTAATTTCACGCCATATCCCGCCCTTCAAACCGAAACACAGCCATGTAAACACAGTTGAAACACACAGCTTCACGGTTGAAACACGAATGGAACAGAGGTACCCAAGCAATCGACTTTTGTACAAAGTCTCCCTCTGTAATCTCAATACTACATCACACCCATCAAATCGAAGATACCTCGCGAACACAGCTATTTGACTAAGGTGTTATGCCTCCGTATCCTGTAATTTCAGTGTATATCCCCCCTTGTAATAATAAAAAAAATACCTTATTTTTTTAATAAGCATTACCTTTATTGGAGTGGATTCAGTGGCAGGCTTCAGCTTGGCGCGCCCCGCGCCCCCTGCCTGCCGAATAGCAGCCATCAGGTTTGCGTGGGCGTCGCCAGCCACCGACGGAGGCGATTGGACCGAACTTTTTTCTTCTCTGTACAAATAAAATTATAAACATTGTTACTGCCGCGTATCTATTGTTTTAATTTATATCTTATATCTATGTTTTTTATTCATATTGTGTAGGTAAACACAATGTGCATATTTTAATAACATTTCTATTATAATTCGTTAATCTATACTTATTTATTAATTAATTTATCTGTAAAGAGGTCAATTCTATACATGAAATATTTTTCCAAAATAACTATCAGGGGATGATTAGTGATCGATACTGATGCCAGAAATGCAATCCGTCAAATTTTTGTGTCTGTCTGTATGTTCGTTATAAAAACAAAAACTACTTGACGGATTTTAACGAAACTTGGTACAATTATTCTTCATACTCCTGGGCAGGTTATAGTATACTTCTCAACACGCTACGATCAATAGGAGCAGAACAGTCAAGGGAAATGTTAAAAATATCCACCCATGCGACACCGGGACGGGCCGCTAGTCATAAATAGAATTGTAATAAACATGTTATTAAAAAATGAAAATCATAATCCAATATTTATAAGTATAATTGTATGAGTGAATAAAAATCAAGCGAATAGCAATATAGGTAGCGTAGAAGGCGTGATTTCAAATACCATCCACTTCAAAAAAAATTTAACAATAAATATTAAAACATATATATTTTAAAAATATTTCAATAAAATTATAATTAGTTAACTGTCAGTTATTCTCGATTTTGTTCGCGCAGAATCATTTAGTTCCCATTTCCATGACAATTTCTGAGAAATCCTTCATTGCTTCCCTCTTTAAGGAAGCAATAACAAAGACTGCAGTATTTCTTCCTGTGCAGTTTTAAACTAATCCAAAAGTTACCGCTATAATCAATAAATCTTTACCATCCTATTAACAAAGGCATTTGAATTTTTTTGGCATTTTTCTTTATTCTAAAGAACTACATATAAAGGAGGTATCTAGCTGTATCTCATAATTCCTCGACCGATTTTAATAAAAAATACCTACACCTTTTCTTAAATTTAACTCATACGTATTCAAATATAAAATATTGTTGAAACCAATTCAGTTGTTTTCTTTGGATGATGTAAAAAAAAATCACACAGGTGTAAAAAATTGCAAATTACTAAATACATGGTTAATTATATATGCCTGATACACTGTTAGGTTTTTAAAATAATAATTATGTATGTCAGAAATACAACTGAACGAAATATTAGGGAAAGATGACGATGCAAAGTCAATGGACGGATGATGAACAATAAGGTCAATATCGGTCGCCCACACAAGAGTTGCCAGATTGGGAATTTTTTCACAATTTTGAGTAATAATTTCTGTGTCCGCGCAATTTTAGAAATATGAAATGCTTGGAAAACATCATGGGGAAAATTAGAATGGCCTTGAAAAACTTTAAATTTGTTTTTTGTAGTGAGAACGGACTTGAGACTGTTGAATGATATTGTAATAGTAATTAAAAAAAATATTGTCACTTGCTTCGTGCATTGGAAGGCATGTAAAGTGTCGATTGCCCAGTAAGTCATGGCTTTCTCATATAACGAAAACTGCCAAGTAATTTTAATTTTTTTCTATTTACTGTATTTTATCTGATTTTACTAAGTATTATAGTCGCTAAAAGTATTTATTAAGTATTTAATGAGTCTTGGATTTTCTAATTTATATTTTAAATTATTGGCAATTTTGATCCCACTAGTATGACAGTTCCTAAACGAATTTAAAAGGTAAAAAAAAGAAATCAAGGTCAACAACAAATAACTGTGAGTAATGAGATTTCGCGAATCACTTTTGAGACTTATTAATTTAACTACATATTACGAAACTAACAAAAAAGAATAAGGACCGATTACTTTAACCGATAATCCGCCACCAATATGGTTTCACCGAGTAAATTGGATTTATCAAGCGATTCTGATGTTTTGATATTGACATTACACGATAAATTTATTGGCAGTGTGCCGATAAGATTGCTTACTGGCGATTTAATAAACTTATATCCACTCAAGGGATGAATTGTCGGATTGTTCCATATTCGAAATGACCTCTATTAATGAACAACCCTACTTTCTTCAAGTGTATGTTGACTGAATAATTGTTTAATGTTAAAACGAACCTTAATATTAATTTTAATCGTCAGAATGTATTATCTAACTCAAAAATCTAACAAGTTCACTACACACGCACTCGATACATTAACCATCAAATAACAACGAATGTTAGATACCATTCCCGAAGTAGCAATCTTATCAAAATTAACGGGGATTCACCATATAACCAATACGTAACGTACGGTTACAAAGCAATAAGTAAATATCTATATAAAAACACCTCACAAATCGAAAAGGTAAAATATGCCAAATTATATTGATACCTAGTACTAAGCTGAACTTTTTATTCAACCTGCCAGATCCTAAAAGCCCTTTAGTATGAAAATATCAAGTAAGTAACTCGTTATTCGAATACTTTTTTGTTATTTTTATAATAAAAATATCAAATATACAATGTCAACCTGTATACTTTTGACTGGTTATTCCAAATCTTTATTGGTTGTTTTTATAATAACTTTTTTATACATATCTTATATTAGAAATTATATATTTAGCAATATAAAATAACCGTTGCTAGTGATACAGAGTTCTAGTTATACTATGGACTTGACATGGAAGATTCAATACTGTTCTAAATCGGTACTAGACATTGGGCGAATTTATCGATTGGCGAATTACGTAGGCGCACGATATAAACACAATGGTCGTTTTCACTCTATATTTTACGGTTTGTTGGTTCTTAACACAAGTTATTTAATGCTAAATAAAGTATTTATAGTATGTTTCAATAGAACTTAATAAAAATGTAAACAAACGAATAATAGATTTTTTTTATTTAACTAGAATGGCAAACAAGCTGGAGGCCCACCTAATGGAAAGTGGTAACCGTCGCCTATAGATATAAGCAGTACCATGGGCATAACAGAGTATACTGTTTCGCCCATGACTCTCCCCATTGTCATGTTTGATGTTTTAAATTTATTGATCTGATTAATTGACACTACTGGTCTATTCACTGATTAATAACGAAAAAAAATGTATTTAGACAATTATGTAAACGTTAATAATCTAAATATATAATATAGGGGGGCAAGGGATTATTAGTCATGGGAATTAACAGTCCCATTGCTAGCAATATGCTCTATCAGGTTATTCTCCAAGTGGCGGTCGCTGGAAATCATCATAGTTAATTCCTGGTAAATCAACAGTACAGGAGTACATATATAGTTTTACGGTGTATTCAGATTTAGGAATACCGGACACGACCATATTAAATTCAGTGCTGAGTGTACAAGTGTGTCCAAGTCATAAATACGAATTCCAAATTCCATCAAATATTAACAACCACAAACGACATTTATCTCAGTAGTTATTGAGAAATCTGTATATTTTTATTGCAAACTCAGACTGAATATAATGGCCGACTAAAATTATAATTCTATTTTTGTTAGGTATTACAATCGTCACAAACTACAGTCACCGCAAATAAAAATATAACATTTCGTCTATAATTTAAACATTTACTCCGCAACAAAAAAAAAAGCGCGTACAATCGCGACAAAATTAATATAGGATCAATACATACACATAACAATTTTTATGAAATCAAATATAAAAAAGTACCTATATCAATGAAAACAGCAGGTACTATCATAGCCGTAAAGGGGGGGGGGGGGGCGGATTTCTCATTCTCCCAGAATTGTCTGGTGACCACCACAGGATGCGAAAAGACGTGTCTAGAGTAGTGCGTAAAGAATTTACATCATTTTCAACCGGCATCTTAAAGAAGGCTATGTCTATATTTTATAGACGTTTATCATCGCCCGTCTGATGGCCATATACTTGTTGGCCAGTTTTGTGGTATAAAAAAGGGCATTTTTAATTCAGTCGTATTTTTTTTTTGTTTGTTGCCTCATAACTCCGTCAATTATAAATCGACTTTTACATCTGAAAGGATATACTTACAGAAAGGTACGGTAAAGGTACGGTTCAATAGTTTAGTTTTGAAATTAAAATAGCTGTTTTTGCTACAATTGCAGTTTTTTTTTTGTGTAACACAAAAGAAACCGACGTTTATAAGTTAATAAAGAAAAAAGACGAAATTAGTTTTATTTGCGCTGAAAATATTTTTTGTTTGTTCTTTTTGCAAAGATGAGCCGCTCATTGATATTTATATTGTACTTGTTTCGTCAGTTTATGAGCGGTAATGAGTAGTGCCTGGTGGCGAGCGAGTGTTTCGCAGAAAATGTTATTGAAAAAATAAACCGATAGATGAATCGGTACTGTCGAGAGGCACGCTCAGTCTAAATAACTCTACAATGAAGATATACTCTGGTACAGTAAGGCTTCTTCGTATTTTTGTTCTATATATATATATATATATATATATATATATATATATATATATACCGAACAATATTTGGGATAAGGGGAGGTAGATGATGATTAAATTTTATCTTTTACCCGCAAAGTTATCTATCCTTCTCATTCTAGTAGTGTTCATTTCACATAGTATGTGTATTTGATTATTTGATACACGCCAATTGATTAAATAAGCCATTAATACTCCAGGAACAAACAAACTTTCACATTTACAATATTAGAATAAATTGAGCGGGCCTTTTCGCCACGCGTGGGATATTCATTCCAGTAACCCCTCCTTATTTGGCCCTTACAAATTTCCTCTCATATTGAATAATACCTTGAAAATCAAATTGGGAAGTGAGATATCTCAAAGAATTTTATCTGACATCAACTCAGTTTTACGGAGTAGTATTTTTATTAGTGATTTATGAATTATTACGTACAATCATTTCAGTTAAAGCAAAACCCTTCATAATCAATATCTGTGGACACACGGTCGATAAATTATAACATACCCATACAAATATAAAACCAAGGTTGAAATTTCACGAACTCACTGACAATCAGATGGTAATTTTTATAACATAAATATGAAATGCAAAATATAGACATACCGAGGTCAACTAACGCCGTTGTA